CCCCCCCCCCCCCTCTCTCTCTCTATATATATATGTGTGTGTGTTCGTGATCCTTTTTTTTAAAATATACGTAGCCTTTTCGTTTGTTGTTTAGCGTTTGATAAAATCTTTGCATGCTGACTATTGTCAAACTTGTTTAAAGTATACAATAATGTTTCTTTTGCTGCAGCTGTCATCTGGAGTATGTTATTTTTTCTTTTTTGGTTATTTGCCTTCCTGGGAACTGAATTGTACATTTGTTTCTTTTTTGTTTCCCCTTAGCTGGAACTGGCTTTTAGGAAAGAGTTTGGAGATATCTTGACCACTTCAAGTAACGAGGTGAATATTCTATCTGCAACTACACTGCACTATTGTTTATAGTTATAGTGCTGCTATAGTGTGTTCACTTGTCGCTATTTTTTCAAGGTGGAGATTTCTGTTGCTTTCTTGCTCTGTCATCTTGTCAGTGAACTTTTTTTCTTATTGAGACTATTCCCTCATTTTCCGACTGTCACAGAATATTTGCATGAAGATATGCAGACATATTCTCATATGGGTGGAGGAGCAAACATACTGGATAGCTTCCCGTTTCCTGATGTTGGGCTTTGAATTAGACTTGTATTCCGCTGGTGAATATTGTATGGTCTACTGGTACATGTATATAATCCTGATCAAGCTTGCGGAGAAAACGCATATGCGGACGATGACAAACAATGAAATCAGTAAGAATCCTACCTGTACCGCATTATTTGTCCCCTAGCTGAAAGTTGCTTGTACAAGGGAACAAACCTTTGGTTAATAGGTTGTTCTTTTTATGTACCAAGTTCATAAAAGTAAAAATTATTAACTGAAGCTTTAAGATTCTTGTCATTGGTGGACTTGACCTTTTGGTTTTTATAAGCAAGTAATTTTTTAAAAAGTAACCTGGCACCAAGAAAGGGAAATCATATACAACCATGCCATTGGACTTATCTCCTCTAAAAGTGGATAGATTCTCCAACAAGCAGTGATCGTCATTTACCATTTGCATCCTACACCAAAAACTACAATAAATTAACACTTGTATATTTACCCAAGCAAAGCATTTATGATTTGGAGGGCTCATACCGCCGACCCCAACTAGCTTGGCATTAAGGCATAGTTATTGTATCATGGTTTTCATGTTTAGGTTTCTTGGTGGAAGATTGTTTCTTTTGCTGGCTGGTTGAATAGAGTTATAATGGTATGTTCATTAGATCACCTACCATTAACTATAATGCCAAGAAAATAAAATAAATCAAAGGAAAAAAGGATGGTTGTTGGCATCTCATTTTTTACTACGCATGTCACGGTTTGACTTAAAAATTGTGGTCAACCCAAAGTTGTGAAGGCATGAGTTGAATAGTTAAACTTTTTTGTATTGCACCTGCTTGCCACTCCTTGAATAGCCTTGTTACTCGTCCAACAGATTAAAAAGAAATATAGAATTGAAGTTCATTATTATGCTTCTTTTCTTTTTCCAGTGAAACCATAGAATGCACACATTATCTTAGTATTTGACTTGTATCAGGTAAAAGGAAAGGGAAGAAGAAAAGAGATTTTGTAAAAGATGGAGGAAAAGATTATCAACTCCCACCTTCAATTATGTTTCTTCAGTGCCATGTATATCTTGCTGAAGGTCTTACCATGGTAATTCAGTATTTTTATTTTTATTTTAATGATGCTCTTTCATCTATGTTCACAGCGTTTAAATTTGTTTTCCCACTTTAGTTTTAGCGTCTCTTTCATATCTGCGCACTGCGTGCGGTGAGCTTTTTAATTAAACTTAACAAAATGATTCTGAATTGCTTGAGAAATTGTTGGTTCCTCTAGATGCTCGCAGCTTTAAGGAACGAACGGCAAGTCTATCTGAGTACAGGACCTTTCAACAGTGAGCATGAGGTGCGTCACGTCACAACTTGTAATATTTTTTATTGGAACTTTGGTTTGTACTCGCAAGTAGCTAACTAAAACACCTGAATCCTGTCTTTTTCTGTAACCTTT